CGGGTTCGGACTTCATCGTGCAATAAATAAACCACAAGGGATGCCTGCGGCCTGCCCCCGAGCCTGCAGAGATGGGCACGGTTGGGGGAAAGGGTCGGATCTCCGAGTCCATTAACGGTGTGGTGTTTTGGATAGCTGTGAGGGGTTTGGCTTCCGGGGGGGCCCCCCGTGGGGGATCCTGCCTAACCCACGAAGGTGCAGTGACTCTGTAGGTGGAGTTGAAGTGGCACCCCAGGTGGGGCAGGGCTGACTCATCTGCGATGATACAGCAGGTGGGGGGCGGGGAGGCCCTGCCGCCAGACAGGAGGCTGGTCTCACTGGGGAGCCCAACCGAGGAGGAAATTTACAGCCTGTGTCGGGGCCAGAGAAAGTGGAACTGAACCTGGGCGATAATCAGTCTGATTAGGTTTGTGCCTCCTGGAGGGAGCCGAAGAGAGGGAGGGAGGGAGGCAGAGCCAAGGGGGGTGGGGTGGGGTGGGGGTGGGAAGCCAAGCTAGCTAGCCTAGAGGTGGAAGCCCAAGAGGTTTCCTCAGGTCAAGAGCAACTGGAGCAACTGGAGGCGCATTTACCTGGGAGGAGGAGGAGGAGGAGGAGGAGGAGGAGGACGAGGAGGAGGAGGAGGACGAGGAGGAGGAAGAGGAGGAGGAGGAGGAGGAGGCAGGAGCGTTGTTCAAAGTCCCAGACCAGCCCAGGCTACACCATGAGTCCTGTGCCAGCTGAGAGTACACAGAAGGACCTGGTCTCCCTCCGCCCCACCCCAAGAACAGACAATGGTCAGGGAGATTGTGTGGATGAGCAAACCCCAAATGGACAGGGAGGGAGGGAGGGAGTGCGAGCAGTTACCAGGCCGCCGGCCGGGCACACGTGGGCTCAGGTGCATGTGGTAAGGAAGCTGGGGGGGGGAAAAGGCTGTGGGAGGAGCTGGAGTGTCCATGACCGTCTTCTCCCCGTGTGGGCTTACAAGGCAGGTGCAGACCTGCTGTGATCCTTCTTGGGAGACCGGAAGCAGGAGGATGGAAGAAAGTTCAAGGCCAGCCTGGCTACTTGGAGAGACCTTGTCTCAAAACACAAAGAAAAGGCTACGGTAGAGCACCTGCCTAGAGTCCCCCAGTGAGGGGCTGGGGTGTGGCTCAGTGGTAGAGCACCTGCCTAGAATTCCCCAGTGAGGGGCTGGGGTGTGGCTCAGTGGTAGAGCCCCTGCCTAGAATTCCCCAGTGAGGGGCTGGGGCGTGGCTCATGGTAAAGTGCCTAGGGAAGGCATGAGGGTTTGTCTCTGGTTAAAGTGCTCAGCACACATGAGACACTGGTTTCAATCCCAGTACAGGGGAAGCACACACACACACACACACACACACACACACACACACACACACCCCTACACGAGCAGTGTCCACTTCATCTTGCCGCCCGTCTCTGGTGTCCTTGGCTCGTGGCCTCACCACCTTCCCCTCATCACATCTCCCCATTCTTGGCTGGCACCCCCTCAGCATGTGTCTGCGTCAGAACGCCCCCTTTTGGTAAGGACACCTTTTAAACTAGGGGTTCACCCTGTTTTAGTATGAGTCTACCTGTTTGCTGTCCTAGTTGGTTAATTCTCAGAGGCAGGGTCCCACTATGATGCCCAGGCTGTTCTTGAGCTTGTGATCCTCTGGGCAAATCACTGGTCTTTGCCTCTGGTGCCCTCATTTATGAGACAACGGCCACTCCATTTTCCACATTTAGTTAATTAATAATTAATTTTTGTGAGCGTGTCTTGGTGCACGTGTAGAGGTCAAACAACCGCTTGCAGGAGTCAGTAGTTCTCTCCTCCTACCGCGTGGGTCTCGGGAATCGAACTCAGTTGCCGGGTGTGGCACGTGCCTTTACCCACTGAGCCATCTGGCCGGTCCTGGCCACTCCGTTTTTTTCAAGTGAGACAACAGGGTTTGGAGGAAGACGTGACCTTCGCACACTTACCCAGGTGGCCAGTGGCTGCTGAGGGTGGGAGCCGGCAGGAAACGGTGCTGACGTGGGTAATGGGAGGCAGCGTCGACAGCCCCGTGAAAGACCTCCTTTTGGTGCCGTGGCCCACGCCTGTCATCCCAGCACCCAGGAGGTAGAGGCAGGAGGATCGGAAGTTCAAGGCGGAGCTCACCTACATCTCAAGTGGGAGACCAGCCTGGTCTACAAGAGACCGAGTCTCAAAAGAGAAGGAGAGGAAAGGTCCCCTCCCGTTTCGTGGATGTGCAGGCTCATGAGAGAGAATTCCTTCCCTCCATTAAAAAATGACTTGTTTTTGGCTGGGTAGTCGTGGCGCACGCCTTTAATCCCAGCACTTGGGAGGCAGAGGCAGGTGGATCTCTGTGAGTTCGAGGCCAGCCTGGTCTACAGAGTGAGTTCCAGGACAGCCAAGGCTGCACAGAGAAACCCTGTCTCAACAAAACACACACACACACACACACACACACACACACACACACACACACACACGCAAAATCACTTGTTTTATTTGTGTGCATGTGGGTGTGGGTGTGTGCACACGTTCACCTGCCATGGCCAGCAAGGAGTTGGTTCTCCCCTGCCCTGTGGTCCCAGGAATCAAACTCAGGTCATCAGGCTGTGGGGCACATGCCGCTGCCAGCTGGTCCGTCTCGCCACCTCCCCGAGAGGCAGCTCTTAACGTGAAGACATCTAGATTCAGCGAGCTGAGGATTTTGAGGGTAAAAATGAAAAAAAAGAACCCGGTGTGGGCTGCAGATGTTCTCCGGGAACGCCTGGAAACCGACCAGAGCCTGCAGATGCTCAGAATGCCCACGAGGGGGCGGCAGAGTCCGGGCTCTGTCTTGGGCAGTAAGGGCGGCTTGAAGCCGGAGGCCTTCCAAGCGCAAAGCCGACCGGAAGCGCAGAGAACGAACGTCCCCTGCTTCCTGGGCCGCGCCTTCAATCCAGCACCCAGGAGGCAGGTGGATCTCCGTAAGTTAGAGGCCAGCCTGGTCTACACAGCAAGTTCCAGGCTCGCCAGGGCCGCAAAGTGAGGCTCTGTCTCAAAAACACACCAACCTCACACGACAGCTCACAACCGTCTGTCACTCCAGTTCCAGGGGACCCGACGCCCCCACACAGACATACACGCAGGCAACACACCCATGCACACACCCGTGCACACACCCGTGCACACACCCGTGCACACACCCGTGCACACACCCATGCACACAAAAGTAAAACGAAATAAATAAAAATAAAACAAAACCATCCCCGAGGGTTGGAGGGAGCGCTCCGTGGCAAAGTGCTTTGCTGTCCAAGTGTGAAGACCTGAGGTAGGATCCACAGTCACGTACAGATGGACCGGCAGCACGCATCCGTAATCCCAGGTTCTTCTTCTGAGTGTCTACATGTGTGCACACGTCTGTCACGGTGCGCATGTGAGAATCAGAGCACAGTTTCCGGGAGCTGGCTCTTTCTGTCACGTCTGGCTTGGCAGGAAGTGCCTCTACCCATTGAACTATCTCACCAGTTTTCCTCCTCTTAACTTGGCTTCGGGGGATTTGAACTCATGTCTTCACGCTTACCCAAAAAGTGTTCTTTTTTAAAAAATAATTTATTTTTATTTTATGTGCATTGGTGTTTCACCTGCGTGTAGTCTGTGTGGGGGTGTCAGAAGGCCTGGAACTGGAGTCACAGACAGTTGTGAGCTGCCATGTGGGTGCTGGGAGTTGAACCCAGGTCCTCTGGAAGAACAGCCAGTGCTCTCAGCCACTGGGCCATCTCTCCAGCCCCCAGAGAGTTTGATTCTATGTATGCTCATGTGTGTGAACAGATGTGTTCCTGCTTCATGACATTCCCCAGAGACCAGCAAGTGATGCAGGGGAAGGCTGGGGGTGGTACCTTTTTGTTTGTTTGTTTGATACAGGGTTTCTCTGTGTAGCTTTGGTGCCTTTCCTGGATCTTGCTCTGTAGCTCAGGCTGGCCTCGAACTCACAGAGATCCGCCTGCCTCTGCCTCTCGAGTGCTGGGATTAAAGGCGTGTGCCACCACTGCCCAGCATGGGTGGTACCTTTCTTAGGTGACAACATTCCCTCTCATGGGATTGGGGGCTGAATCACATCTGGACGGAAGAGGAGGACAGAGAAACCAGCATATGTGGTCTGGGAGCTGGTACAATGTGACAAACAGAGCAAGTGCCCAAATCTGTAAAACTTGGAACCAACTTGCTTTGGTTGTTTTTAGTTATTATAAGCATGTATGGGGGATAGAGAGACGGTTAAGAGTGTGACTGTTCTTACAGAGGAACTTGAGTTCTCTTCTCAGTACCAAATAAAGGCTCATAATAGCCTGTTACTCCAGCCCAGAGGATCTGATGCCCTCTTCTGGCCATCACTGGCAATTGCACTCATGTTCACACACACACACACACACACACACACACACACACACACACACACACAATTAAAAACAAAATAAATCTTAAAAAAATAAGCATATAATTGTATTTACATAGGAAAAATTAGAATGCACCAAAATAAAAGCTTTAATTATACCCAGTACCAGAAAGAAACTCAAAACTAAGCATGCCCTTGTGAACAGAGATAGTCTATATTAAAAACGGTGTTTCCCATGGAGATGGGATTAATCTTTCTTAGAGGAGTGTTTTGCAGATGGTAAAATGCAATCCGGTGTCAAAGCAATCATTTTAGCAGCAACGGGTACGGGGTGGGGGGGTGGGGGGTGGCGGCGGCACTGTCCTTGGTGCTGAATCCAGCTCAGGAGCAGAACATCTCTGGACATGGGATTCCGGGAGGCATCGCCCACCATCATGACATGCCCACTGCACTTTCCATACTGTTTGACCTTCCATCACTCTTGTCTCTCGTATTCAGTCTTGCCAACTACAGGATCTATTTCCCGTAAGTCCCCCATGGGGATTTCTCAATGGAGGGCGTGTGCCACCATGCTTGACCCAGTGGGGTTCTCCTCAGTCCTCAGCTCCACGGATCCATGCGAAACCGCTTTCGTGGTAGTGTTTACAATGATGTCATGACCACCTGGGGCCTCTGAATCTGGATCTGAAGAGAAAAACAGAAGCAGGTGAGGGCTGAGCACAGGAGAAATCTAGTTTTGGAAGCACCCAAGGGTCTACAACCCTATAACTACTCAGGCCCAGATCCAGGGTTATAGGTTAGCCCACCCCAGTGTCCACCCCATCTGTGATCTGCTGGAGCACATGAGGGGACCGGTCCTGCAGACCCAAAGCTGCAGGATCTCCACGACACAGGGCAACTTTAGGATATCCAAGAGGAGTCCCAGTGAGGCCCAGCATCAATAGTGAATCAGAAACCTGAGGCCTTGAACCAGACCAATGACTCTGCAGTGAACACTTGCACGTACAGATACATGGACAAAGGGTTTACTGCGTAACTCACTGTGTCACACTAGAGCTTCCATGACGAGATTCCCCCCCCCTTTTCTTTTTCTCTTTTCTCTTAAATTTTATCTGGGGCGGGGGCTACAAGGGCAGAGGGCAGATACCCAGGGACGGGAAGTGAACGGGATGGAGATGCATGATGTGAAAGACACAAAGAACAAATAAAAAGGAAGTTAAAAAAAACTTGGGTCTATGGAAGCACTCAGCTGGAACCTGTCTCTTTAAAAACGTTGTCACATTTCCTTCCTTCCTGCCTTCTTTCCTTCCTTCCATCCTTCCTTCCATCCTTTCAAGACAGGGTTTCTCTGTATAGTTCTGGCTGTCTTGGATCTCGCTCTGTAGACCAGGCTGGCCTCCAACACACAGAGATCCGCCTGCCTCTGTCTCCCAAGTGCTGGGATTAAAGGCGTGTTCACCATGTTGGGCGCACATTTTATTTCTGGGGTGGGAGGTGCACATGAGCAATGATATGCATATGGAGGTCCAAGAACAGTAAGTGGGAATCAGTTTCCTCTTTCTACCGTGTGGGTCCTGGGGATTGAACTCAGGTCATCAGGCTTGAAGGCAAGCATCTTTGCCCTCTGAGCCGTCTTGCCAGCCCTGGAATTTGTCTTATTTTTTGGAGTCTAGAACAAACAAGTTGCATCCTTCCTTCCCCGACAGTTGGGTTTAGTAATAGCCCTCAGGGTCTCTCCTGTCCTCAAATATTTTGAATATTTGAAAAGAAATATTTGGAGATGGTCTTATGTAGCCCAGGCTAGCCTTAAACTCATGCCCATAGACAAGGAATTTCCGATCCTCCTGCTTCTGCCTCCCAAGTGCTGGAACAACAGGTGTGTACCCCCAGCTTATGAAATGGTCGGCTGGAACCCGGGGTTTTGTGCATGCTAAGCAGGCACTCTCCCAACTGAGCTGCATGCCCAGCAGTAAACTATAACTTTAAAGAGTATAATGACTTGGTGATGCACACCCATAATCCCAGCACTCAAGAGACTGGGGCTGGAGGAGGGAAGTTTGATGGTTAGCCTGGGCTACACAGTGAGACCCTGTCTCAAAAAATTGTAAATTCTTTTTTTTTAAAAAAGTTATTTATTTTATATTTTATGTGTATGAGTGTTTGCCTACATGGATGTATATGCACCATGTGCATGCCTGGTGCCTATGGGGGTCTGAAGAGGGTGTCAAGTTCCCCAGAACTAGAGTGATGGATGGTTATGAACCATGATGTGGGTACTGGGAACCCAACATGGTCCCTGTAAGAGCGACAGGTACTCTTCCTCACTGAGCCGTCTCTCCAGACTCTCCCCACCAAATTAAATTTTAAATAACTAGGGCATGAAGGACTTACCTAATGCACAGAAAGATACAGAATCTGAAGCCAGGGAAAGTGCTGGCTTCCTCTCCCCCAATTTCTGCCCTTCTAAGTAACACTACTGCAGCGTGCCCCAGAGACCGCTGCCTGGACTATAGACACTATGGCTTTGCTCGCCTGAGGGTCCCACCAGGTGGAAGGAACATGGCGGACGCAGGGCACAGGAGGTGGGTGGTTCATCTGGGTCATTCTTACCTTTCTTTCAGGGTTTATATGTCTTAGGGATGCCTCGAAGTTGCTGTACATGGAGTCCAAGTGGACGTAGTCTTCTCGTTCTGAGGGAAGAGGAAGCCCAAGGAGACGGGGTTAGAAAGACAAGTGTTCATCAGACCCTCGAGCCCCACTGATGGGGAGGGTGTTCGTCCCCACGCCCATGAAACAAAAGCCAGTGGGAGTGTGGTGGCCTAAGTCAGTCGCTCTCCAATAGCTGCCTAGTGCTTTAAAGTTACAGTCAGGAGTGTTTGCCTGTAGTAACAGCACTCGAGAGGCAGAGGCAGGAGGATGACAAGTTTGAGGTCAGTATGGGCTACAGAGAGGGACTGTGTCTCAAAAATGATGTAGACAAGACTGGGTTTGAACTTCAGAGATCCCCTCCTTCAGCCTCCCGAGTGCTGGAACTAAAGGTGTCCCCTACCAGGCCGGCCACTGTTTGTTTTTGAGACAGAGGCTCACGTATCTCAGGCTGGCCTCAAATTCACTGTGTAGCCAAGGATGACCTGGACTCTCCTGTCTGCTGGGATCACACAGGTGTGCCACCATATTTGGTTTATGTGGAACTGGAGACCAAACCCAGGACTCCATAAATGCTATCCAAGCCCCCCACCCACTGACTCACACCCCCAGCCCCATTTCTTGTCACTTGATGAGCATACTCGGCCCTGGGCCCTCATCTACGCCCCTGTAGGCAAAGTTTTATGTTCTGGAGAAATATGCACCATCAATTGGCTCCGGGCCCCCTAGGGTGTTGCCATGTATTACCCATGTTGTATCTCGCTCAGGTTCTAGGTAAGCTTTTGAATGTGGCACGGAGTGTTCGAGGATGGGTAATGATCCCTGTACCTCTCCCAGGTCTCCTGTGTCTCCCACCCTACCCATGATGCTGAGTCTGAGCTCCGCAGAGATGCCAGTACCTTCGTTGTGGTCGAAACCGACGTTGTGGAAGGCTCCAGGGTCCCGGCCCTCCTCCTCATTCCACCTCTGCAGCTGAGACACTCTGGACCTTTGCCTGTTGGTAGAAAACACCACGGGACCCAGTCACGATCACAGAGACCCAGGATGAGCTACATCTCCGCTGCGGGCAGCTCACCGTCGGCCTCGGGAAGCGAGTTCGCAGCCCGAGGGGGGACGGAGAGAGGGAGGGCGATGAGGATGGCGAAGGAAGGGGCGCCCGCTGCTTACCTGTTGGCCTCTCTTCTGAAGCGGAAGGAGAACACGCCCAGGATGACGAGGATCAGCAGCAGCACCGCCGCCCCGGCTCCCACGAGCCCGTAGACCAGGCTCTTCTGGATGCCCCAGTCGCAGGTATCCCCGCTGTACCAGTGCGTGTCTGTGGTCAGGCAGCTGACAGGGGCAGAAGGAAAGACAAGAGTCGGTCACCTCAGGCCTCGGGAGTGTCCGTGGACGGGAGTGTCCGTGGACGGGGGTGTCCGTGGACGGGGGTGTCCGTGGACGGGGGTGTCCGTGGACGGGGGTGTCCGTGGACGGGAGTGTCCGTGGACGGGAGTGTCCGTGGACGGGAGTGTGCATGGACGGGGGTGTACATGGACGGGGGTGTCCGTGGACGGGAGTGTCCGTGGACGGGGGTGTCCGTGGACGGGGGTGTCCGTGGACGGGGGTGTGCGTGGACGGGAGTGTCCGTGGACGGGAGTGTGCATGGACGGGGGTGTGCGTGGACGGGGGTGTCCGTGGACGGGAGTGTCCGTGGACGGGAGTGTCCATGGATGGGGGTGTGCACGGATGGGGGTGTGCGTGGACGGGGGTGTCGGTGGACGGGGGTGTCCGTGGACGGGGGTGTCTGTGGACGGGGGTGTCCGTGGACGGGGGTGTCTGTGGACGGGGGTGTCCGTGGCCGTTTGACTAGAGCTCTGGGGAGCTGAACGGCTGCACGTGTGGAGACAGAGGCCATCCACAGGCGCCACCCCTCAGGCGCTGTCCACAGGACAAGGTCTCCACATGGTTGTAGTGAAAAGTGCCCCCCACACTATGTGAGTATTTGGCCCACATTTGGTGGTACTGTTTAGGGAGGTTATGGGACCTTTAAGAAGTGGAGCCTTGTCGGGCGGTGGTGGCGCACGCCTTTAATCCCAGCACTCGGGAGGCAGAGCCAGGCGGATCTCTGTGAGTTCGAGGCCAGCCTGGACTACCAAGTGAGTTCCAGGAAAGGCGCTAAGCTACACAGAGAAACCCTGTCTCGAAAAACCAAGAAGAAGAAGAAGAAGAAGAAGAAGAAGAAGAAGAAGAAGAAGAAGAAGAAGAAGAAGAAGAAGAAGAAGGAGGGGGGGGGGAGGAGGAGGAGGAGAAGAAGAAGAAGAAGAAGAAGAAGAAGAAGAAGAAGAAGAAGAGGAGGAGGTGGTGGTAGAGCCTTGCTAGAGGAAATACGTCTCAAAGTGGCTTTGGGGGCTTATGGCCTCTCCCCATTTCCAGATTGCTCTCTCGGCTCCCTGCTGCTCTGGCCACCTGCTGGCCATGCCTTCCTGTCCATTATGAGTCTCCCTCCTCTGGAGCCACAAAACAAAAATAAATGCTCTTCCGTAAGTTGCTTTTGGTCACGGTGTTTCATCAGTGTGGGCAAAGAGGAATTAATAAGCTGGTCTGCAGCTTGATAAGTAGTCCAGGCCGGCTGGCCAGCAAGTCCCAGGAATCCACCTGACTCCGCCTCTTCAGCTCTGGGATTATAAGGATGGGCTACTACGGACATATTTTTAGAACATTATTTTGAATTTTCAAAGTAAATTAATTTCTATTTTACGCAGGTGAAAGCTGCCTGCCTGTATACGTGTGCACCATGTGCCTGCAGTACCCAGAGCAACCAGAAGAGGGCATCACATTCCCGGGAACTGGAGTCACAGGTGGTTGTGAACCACCAGGTGGGCGCCCATTGCTTCTAAGACATCTCTGCAGCTCGTGTGTGGCTTTGTACGTGGGAGCTGGGAATCTGAACTCAGGTCCTCACGCCTGCGTGGCAAGCACTTTACCAACTTAGCCGTCTTCCCAGCCCTTCCCAGTCCTTGATTATTATTATTATTATTATTATTATTATTATTATTATTATTATTATTTTTGAGACAGAGCCTCTCGGGACAGCTCAGACTGATTTTAGACTCATGATCTTCCTGGTGCCTCTGCCTCCCAGGTGCTGGTATCACGGACATGCACCGCCACACTCAGCATTCAGTTCATAAGGCCTTTCTTCGGCTTCCTATGTCTATGACTAGGATATACAGGTTCCCTGTTGCCATGGAGACACATAGAGCCACGATGACCAACAGCATGTGAAGATGCCGGTAAGCCACGAGCCACATGGCAAGGTATAGATTTACAGAAATGGATTAATTTAAGTATAAGAACAGTTAGCAAGAAGCCTGCCACGGTCATACAGTTTGTAACCAATATAAGTCTCTGTGTTTATTTGGTTGGGTCTGACGGCTGTGGGACTGGCAGGTGAGAGAGATTTGTCCTGACTGTGGGCCAGGCAGGAAAACTCTAGCTACAGGACATTTTTTTTTTTTTTTTTTGGTTTTTCGAGACAGGGTTTCTCTGTAGTTTTGCGCCTTTCCTGGAACTCACTTTGTAGACCAGGACTCACAGAGATCCGCCTGCCTCTGCCTCCCGAGTGCTGGGATTAAAGGCGTGCGCCACCAACGCCCAGCTGACATTTTTTTAAAAATTATAAAATTACATTTATTTACTCTGTGTGTGTGCGCGCGCACGTGCACACATGTGCGTGGATGTCGGAGAACAACCTGCAAACGTTGGCTCTCTCTTTCTACCATGTGGGTCCCAGGGATCACGCTCAGGTCACCAGGCTTAGCGGCAAGCGTCTTTACCCACAGCGGCACCTCCCGGGCCACGGGCCACATGCTCTTTCTCTGGAAAGGAGGCCCTGTGCTCTCTGCTAGACTGGGAGCCTCCCGAAGCTGGAGCGTCCATCGCTCTCTCCGTCTCGGAGTTTTTCCTGCCATGCTGGACATTCCCTGACCCCCTTTGCTCTGGACTTGGCCATGCCTGTCCCTTTAACCCTCCAATCGGGTTCTCTCACAACTGTATACTTTCAAGAGATGCAGGGATGCAACCTCATGACCTTGGCCTCCAGGAGAAGACCCACCCCACGGGCAAAGCGGGGTACTCACAGGCACTGGGGGCCACTTCGCTGCAGCTGGCACTTGCCATAGTGGCAATCCAAGGAGGCTTTGTAGCCGGATGAGCAGGGCGTGATACAGTGCAGCTTATCGTCCTTGTACTCCAAGGTGACATACTTCGCAAAGTCCTCTCCAGCCTCCCTCTGGCATGCCTCTGAGGGGAACATGGGAGAACAGCTAAGAATCAAGAGGTCTGTCTCCTCGCTGCCGGCTCCTCCCTGCCCCACCCCTCTACCTTTCCAAGCCTTTCCCAGAACCACTCACATGACATACCTTCAGGAGTTTCAGTGATGGAAACCTTTTGCACACTCGTGGCAGTTGAGTTGAAACACAGCATAAAACCTGTGAAGGAAACACAACGCCGATGTCACAGAGGCTCCTTCAGTACCTTCGATGTGTGTGGGAGAGGGGAAGGGCTGAGACAGTGCAGTGTGAAGTGTTCGTGGCAGACTTGTGTGTTTGGACACTTGTTTTTCAGATGATGACCCTGTTTGGAGAAGTTGTGAGACCTTTGAGGCATGGGGCTTCCCTGGGTCAATGTGGGAGCCAGGCTGCAAGCTTACAGACTACCCCACTTTCACACGAGCCTTCTGCTTTGAGGATTTTTTTTTTCCAGAGACGGGATCTCATTGTGTAGACAGCCCTGGCTGCCCTGGAATTCAATATGTGACCAGGTTGGCCTCGAAGTCACAGAGACCTGCCTGCCTCTGACTCCCCCAGGGCTGTGTTGAAAGACACGGCCACCACATAGGCCAGGTCAGGACTTCATAAGGAACAGTACGCAGCAGACATCTGCTACCACAGGGCTGCCTGTGCCCATGCCTGCCCACTGGGGGATACTGTATCCCCGCAAACCAGGAACCAGGCATCTGCTTCCACTGGGCTGCCTGTGGCCATGTCTTCCCATCCAGGGGAGACTGTATCCCCGAAAACCAGGAACCCAGAGAAATCCTTCCTCTTTGGCCTTGTTTCTGCCAGGTTTGGCCACAGCACTCGAACTAGTGGGCGTGGAAGCAGGAAAGCTGCCAGGCTCCCAGCTCTCCGATGAACCACACTCACTGGGTCCTGCGGCTCAGAGGGCCTCAGAGGTCCCACACCCCCCTCTGCCAGAATCCCCTCACTACTCTTTGTATTCAGAAGATTCACTATGTAGTCAGTCATGTGATGCTCCAGCTGTCCTGAATCCCCTTAAAGTTGATGCTCTGCAGGAATTCTCCATCTTTGTACTGCTCTGTGCCCTCCCACCCAAAGCTTTCTTGGAATCTGACGGGGGTGACAGGCCCTAGCTCTGGACCCAGATCCCAGTGACCCACAATCTTGCCTTCCTTCACTGTGCCTGACCTGTCCCAGGGTCAAAAATCAGAGAGGTGGGGAGATTAGCAAGTCACCCTCTGAGAGCACCTCCCTCCGGGAGTACTTTACCTGTACAGTTATTATCAACAAGTACTTGTTGTGCGGTCGCATTCTGGATTTTTTCCCTCACATTAGAGCTGATGTTCTGTAGCGCGTTTTCGTATCCTTCAGTGTACGGGGCCTTCAGGATGACGTCATAATCCACCACGATACTGCCCTTCCTGGGGAGAGAGGGGAGACCTTGAGCATCCTCCTGTGGTCACACCTATCGTTGACATCCCTTGCCTCCTCTACAGTCCTGGGAGGGATTCCAGGCCAGGGGACTGAGAACTTGAGGCTAACCTGGGCTATGTAGTGAGTTCACGCTAGCCTGGACTATAGAGCAAATATAGGAAAGGCAGAGACAGAGGGAGAGAGGGAGATGAGAGAGACAGAGACACACAGAGAAGAGAGAGAGAAAGAGAGAGACAGACAGACAGACAGAGGGAGAGAGAGAGACAGACAGACAGACAGACACACCCATATGTATTGGGGAGTGCTAGTCAATGAAGCCTCTGTCGTATAAACACAGAATTCAGGCACTCATGTAAAAGCTGGATGTCATGGCCTGTTGTTCAAATTTCTAATAATCTTTTAATTAAAAAACCCAGAGCCAGATATCAGGATGAAAGCTTTTAAAGATCAGAGAAGCAGCCACTAGTTCTTACGAAATCTTCAACCTAGAGAGAGAGTGAGTTCCTGTTTCCTCACTCCTTATATACCTTTCTCTGCCCTGCCATCTTACTTCCTGGGATTAAAGGCGTGTGCCCACCACTGCCTGGCCTCTATGTTTAACTCTGTGGCTGGCTCTGTCCTCTGATCCCCAGACAAGCTTTATTAAGGTACACAACATATCACCACAATGGCATGCATCTGTAACCCCAGCACCAGGGAGAGCAGGGGCTGGTGGATCCCTTGACCTCCTTGGCCAGGGAGCCTAGCTGAATTGATGATCCCCTGGCTAAGTGAGAGACCCAGTCACTAAAAATAGGGTGGAGAGAGAGATGATTGAGGAAGACACCAGTGTGGACCTCCGGCTTCCACAGGTATTCACACGTATGTACACATGTACCTACATACACACACACACACACACACACGCACATGCACACACACACACACGCATGCATGCATGCACACACAGAGGCATGCACAGACACATGTATGCACACACAAATATGTATATATGACAAACACACAAAATTTGGCTAGACAGAGAGACAGCAGAGATTGCACACAGAGGACCCAGGGAAAAGGCACCGTCCCTTGATCTCAGACGTCCAGGCCCCAGAGCTGTGAGCTTAGAAGAGATCTCTGTTGTTCAAGCTACAACCACTGGTGTTCCTGCACAGCACCCACTGTGGGCTGACGTGGCCTGCCAGGCCCAGGTACTCACCTCAGCCCTCTGATGACAACCCCGTCATACTCAGGGATTCCGGCATAAATTATCGCCATCTGAAAGGCAAGGGGCCAATGTGTCATGGCAGAAGTCCCACCCTGAGGACTTTCTGTGGGACATCAGAACTCCTCAATCCTCACCTCACCTCCCAGCGGCACAGAAACCAAAGAGAAAGTTCCCTTGTCAGAGACCTGGCCTGACCTGGTTCCCGCTTGCAGCTCCCAGGCAAATCCTGCTTCCCATCCCTCACCTGCCCCGGCTAGCTGAGAAGCACACGTATCTAACACACTCGGCTGCCATCTTCATCCCTCCACAGGATGCAGTGTGGGGCGGGGGTTGAATGGCCCGGGGGGGGGGGCGGTCTCCAGGGTTACCTGTTTTGTAAATGTCTCATTGAACTCCTTGAATTCGTCGGATTGTGGGTTCTGTAGCTCATCACTGTAGTTTTGGCTGGTTACCGTCACGGTCACTTCCACGGATGCAGAGACCGTTTGCTCTAAGGGGGACAGACAGAAGCACTGACCATTGAGAGGGACCCTTACCAACGAAATCCTCACCCCCTGAAGGCCCACCCTGGATGCAGGGAGTGACACAAGCCTCCTCCAGCAAACTGTCCCCTGGAAGAAGAAGGGGGGCATACTGTATTCCTGAGGGCTATGGATGGCAGCTTGATGGGAGCTAGAACGCCCCTGAGCATCCTGATGAGTCCGCTACATGCTGAACATTTCATAAATGAAAACCGTGTTTAACCTGGGCATTAATCTGGGGATGTAACTCAGTGGTAGAATGCTTGCTTAGCAAGCACAAACCTCAGCTTTTGTCTCCAGCAAAACACACACACACACACACACACACACACACACACACACACACACACACACACGTCATGCACACATGTATGCATGGACACATAACATTCGACCCATGTAACCTACAGCACACTTTTTTTTTTTTTTTTTTTGGCTTTTCGAGACAGGGTTTCTCTGTGTAGCTCTGGCTGTCCTGGATCTCGCTCTGTAGACCAGGCTGGCCTTGAACTCACATAGATCCGCCTGGCTCTGCCTCCCGAGTGCTGGGATTAAAGGCGTGCGCCACCACCGCCCAGCTCTTTAACATTTTTACCACCAAGGTAAAAGTAAAATATGGGGTGACCACAGTGATTAACAGTGCGTTCGTATTGCTTTTGTGGGAGACTGGAGTTCAGTTCCCAGCAGCTTACTGTCAGCTGTGACTCAAGTTCTAGGTGACCCAACACTCTCTTCTGGCCGCTGTGGGTGCCCACTCCTGTGGCACATGCAAACGTGCCCCCCACATGCTCACACATGCACACACACTCGCCCCCGCCCCCCACCCCCTACACACATGCTCACACACATAAATCTTTTTTTAAAATATGGGCCATAAGAGGTAGGGCAAGGGCAGGGGCCTGATGGGGACTCTCTATGCTTGGTGTGGGGAGGGAGGCCCTGCCCACACTTGGTGGTTCTGTGGGATTTTCACTCACCTATCTCAATGCTGTCCACCACGTCCTCACACCTTGGCCCATAGAAGAGGCTGGGGCACTGGCATTTGAGCCCATCCCACGTGCCTCCGTTCTGGCAGACGACCACGGGAACTCTGTCCTGGCAGAGGTTCCCCGTGAAGCCGTTGGGGCAAAGGCAGACTTGCCCGTTCCAGGACCCTCCATTCAGACAGTTCACTGCAAGAGACCAAGCCAGGGTCTAGCGCACGCTTGTGTGGCATGCTACAGCTTGGCGTGTTTCAGACGTGCCCCCACTCTTTCTTTCCTGGATTTTTTCTTTTTCCTCCTTCCTTTATTCTTTCTGTCTCGTCTTTCTCCTTGTTCGTTCTTTTCCTCTTCCCTCCCTCCTCTATTGTCTGAGACCGTTTCTCACTACGAAACTTAGGCAGGCTTTGAACTCACAATCCTCTTGCCTTGGCCTCCCGAGTCCTGGGATTAGAGGCCAGGACTGTACTGCCGTGTCTGGTTTACAGCGTGTCCTGTGCCATCAGACCCTGTATTCACAGGACAGGCAGCGCCACCCCCACATCACAGACAGAAGCAGTGTAGACAGAGTCCTGCCCAAGCGTCCAGAGCGATGGACTTGACCCCGTCTAGGAGATCAGTTCCCGTCACATCGTCTCACCCGCGTGAAGAGAAAACTGCTGAGAAGTGACATTATATTGGAAACAGAGACAGAGCCTGGGTGAATCCGGGGCCGCTGAGCAGTGGAGAGTCCTCCGAGGGTGAGAACGGGCGTTAAGTTTGCCCTTCAGTGCCCAAGAGGAGCCTGTGCTGGAGCTTTGGGCTGTTGTGAGCGTTTGTAATTCCCGCCAGGCCGAGACGTACAGCCTGACGGAGTAGACGCTGTCAGACGGGCGGGCAGCTGCTCACGGTCTGTGTAGATCAACTAAAATAACTAAAATGTTCGCTTTGTCCTATTTACTAATTAAATGCAGTGTGTGTGTGTGTGTGAGTGTGTGTGCGTGTGTGTGCGTGTGTGTGCGTGTGTGCGCGTGTGTGCGCGCGCGTGTGTGTGTGCGTGTGTGTGAGTCTCTGTGTGTGTGCGCGCGCACACGTCTCTGTGTATGAGTGTGTGTGTGAGTGTGTACGTGTGAGTGTGTGTACGTGTGAGTGTGTGTACGTGTGAGTGTGTGTGTGAGTGTGTACGTGTGAGTGTGTGTACGTGTGTGTGTGTGTGCGTGTGTGTGTGCGTGTGTGTGTGCGTGTGCGTGTGTGTGTGCGTGTGTGTGTGTAGGCTAGAGGTTGTGTCGAGTGTCTCCCTTAACTGCCCTCTGCCCTGCTTACCCCTTTATTTTTGGGTCGTGTCTCACTGAGCCTGGAGCTCCCTGGCTTCACGACCCTTGCTGGCCAGTGAGGCTCAGGGATCCCCCTGTGTCTGCCTCGGACTAGACTGCCCAGCTTTTGACGTGGGTTCTGGGGATCTGGGCTCAGGTCCACATCCTTCCATAGCTGGCACTTTACTGACGGAGCCAACTTCCCAGACTCAATCATTCATTCATTCACTTATTTTTAGGATCTCTCTGTCTCTGTCTCTGTCTCTGTCTCTCATATATAGTCTGGCGCGTACTGTGTAACCCACGTCATCCTCAAATTATCACTTTTCTGGCTTGGGCCTCCTGAGGATGGAGTTCAGGTTCCGGCCACGAGGCTCAGCGTCCGTTAAATTTTGCAGCCTTTCTGTTGGTATGTAACTGAGTGCACGGGGAAGGTCTTCTCTCGGGGTCGGAGGGCAACTATAAAGAATACCTCTCACTACAAAATGCAAACTTTATATAAAATGTGAATTATAATATCTAATAGAACAAGAGGAGAGAGTGTGGGCACGGGAGCCCATCACACAAACTCTGAGCGAAGCTTCTAGAGGCACAGCATGAAAAGCTCGGTGGACTCAGACTCCTCCAAAGGGCTAATGCAGAGTGAGGAGGCGACAGAACTGAGCCAGACTGTGCGTAACAACGGTGGAGGAGAGGAGCCAGGGTACTTGTGACGGGCACTGGTGAACAGGACTTACAAAAGAGAGAAAAACCCAAGTCCTTAACACCCAAGTCCCAGGGACTGACACGGACCAAAGTGTGGTGGAAAAGACGGAGACACAACAACATTAGGGAAAATTTAAAAAAGGAACCGACACAGGGAAACACGAGGAAAAACACGAGAAAGACAAATAGCACCTTGGAAAGTCTGAACAGGTAAGCCTGTGTGTGTGTGTGTGTGTGTGTGTGTGTGAGTGTGTGTGCTGTGTGTGTGTGAGTGTGTGTGCATGTGAGTGTGTGCATGTGTGTGCATGTGACTGTGTGTGCTGTGTGTGTGTGAGTGTGTGTGCTGTGTGTGTGAGTGTGTGCTGTGTGTTTATGTGTGAGTGTGTGTTGTGTGTGTGAGTGTGTCTCTGTGTGTGTGCACGTGCACACGTCTCTGTGTGTGAGTGTGTGTGTGAGTGTGTGTACGTGTGAGTGTGTGTGTTGTGTGTGAGTGTGTGTGTGAGTATGTGTGTGTGAGTCTCTGTGAGTGCGCGTGTGCACGTCTCTGTGTGTGTGTGTGTGTTTGTGTGTATGAGTGCGTGTGTGTGTGCGTGTGTGTGTGTGTAGATGAGTACAAACAGGGTGCGCTGCTGTAGAAAACAAAGGGTACTGGGGAAGGAGCTGGAGGAGGACAGCGGTGATGGGAGAACCACACGGCTGAGGTGTTTCCACCGGACACGGCGCGAGGGAACCGCGACAGAGCGGCACTGGGCCAGAAACATAGAAACGCGGAGAGGGATGAGAGCGGGGAGAGTCACGTGATTAGAGAAACACGTGACGCGTGGAGGAGGAGGATGAGACAACCCGGGAGGAGAACGTGAAAGAGAGTGACACGGAAGGTGCCGGACACAAGGAAATAAACACGCGATCATTCGCCAGATCGGAAGGGAAACCGTGACGACAGGAAGATAGGAGGCGTCAGGGGACGCAGAGAACCGCGGCTTACCGACGGTGGTGGGGCTGGAGGGCGTCGGCGTGGGTTCCGGGGTTGTTGTCGTGGGTTCCGGGGTTGTTGTCGTGGGTTCCGGGGTTGTTGTTGGTTCACGAGTTGTTGTGGGTTCCGGGGTTGTTGTTGTGGGTTCAGGAGTTGTTGTGGGTTCAGGAGTGGTTGTTGTGGGTTCCGGGGTTGTTGTTGTGGGTTCAGGAGTTGTTGTGGGTTCAGGAGTGGTTGTTGTGGGTTCCGGGGTTGTTGTCGTGGGTTCCGGGGTTGTTGTCGTGGGTTCCGGGGTTGTTGTTGTGGGTTCAGGAGTGGTTGTTGTGGGTTCCGGGGTTGTTGTCGTGGGTTCCGGGGTTGTTGTCGTGGGTTCCGGGGTTGTTGTTGTGGGTTCAGGAGTTGTTGTGGGTTCAGGAGTTGTTGTCGTGGGTTCCGGGGTTGTTGTCGTGGGTTCCGGGGTTGTTGTTGTGGGTTCAGGAGTTGTTGTTGTGGGTTCCGGGGTTGTTGTTGTGGGTTCAGGAGTTGTTGTTGTGGATTCAGGAGTTGTTGGTGTGGGTTCAGGAGTGGAAGTTGTGGGTTCCGGGGTTGTTGTTGTGGGTTCAGGAGTTGTTGTGGGTTCACGAGATGTTGTAGGCTCAGGGGTTGTTGCTGTGAGTTCAGGAGGAGTTGTTGTGGGTTCAGCAGATGTTGTGGGTTCAGGAGTGGTGGTGACTTCAGGAGTGGTGGTGAGCTCAGGAGTGGTGGTGACTTCAGGAGTGGTGGTGACTTCAGGAGTGGTGGTGAGCTCAGGAGTGGTGGTGAGCTCAGGAGTGGTGGTGACTTCAGGAGTGGTGGTGACTTCAGGAGTGGTGGTGAGCTCAGGGGTGGTGGTGAGCTCAAGAGTGGTGGTGACTTCAGGAGTGGTGGTGAGCTCAGGAGTGGTGGTGAGCTCAGGAGTGGTGGTGAGCTCAGGGGTGGTGGTGACTTCAGGAGTGGTGGTGAGCTCAGGAGTGGTGGTGAGTTCAGGGGTGGTGGTGACATCAGGAGTGGTGGTGAGCTCAGGAGTGGTGGTGAGGTCAGGAGTGGTGGTGAGCTCAGGAGTGGTGGTGAGCTCAGGGGTGGTGGTGACTTCAGGAGTGGTGGTGAGCTCAGGAGTGGTGGTGAGCTCAGGAGTGGTGGTGAGCTCAGGAGTGGTGGTGACTTCAGGAGTGGTGGTGACTTCAGGAGTGGTGGTGAGCTCAGGAGTGGTGGTGAGCTCAGGAGTGGTGGTGACTTCAGGAGTGGTGGTGAGCTCAGGAGTGGTGGTGAGCTCAGGAGTGGTGGTGACATCAGGAGTGGTGGTGAGCTCAGGAGTGGTGGTGACTTCAGGAGTGGTGGTGAGCTCAGGAGTGGTGGTGAGCTCAGGAGTGGTGGTGAGCTCAGGAGTGGTGGTGACTTCAGGAGTGGTGGTGAGCTCAGGGGTGGTGGTGAGCTCAGGAGTGGTGGTGAGCTCAGGAGTGGTGGTGAGCTCAGGAGTGGTGGTGAGCTCAGGAGTGGTGGTGAGCTCAGGAGTGGTGGTGAGGTCAGGAGTCGTGGTGAGCTCAGGAGTGGTGGTGACATCAGGAGTGGTGGTGAGCTCAGGAGTGGTGGTGACTTCAGGAGTGGTGGTGAGGTCAGGAGTGGTGGTGAGGTCAGGAGTGGTGGTGAGCTCAGGAGTGGTGGTGAGCTCAGGAGTGGTGGTGAGCTCAGGAGTGGTGGTGAGCTCAGGAGTGGTGGTGAGCTCAGGAGTGGTGGTAAGCTCAGGAGTGGTGGTGACTTCAGGAGTGGTGGTGAGCTCAGGAGTGGTGGTGAGCTCAGGAGTGGTGGTGACTTCAGGAGTGGTGGTGACTTCAGGAGTGGTGGTGACTTCAGGAGTGGTGGTGAGCTCAGGAGGGGTGGTGACATCAGGAGTGGTGGTGACTTCAGGAGTGGTGGTGAGCTCAGGAGTGGTGGTGAGCTCAGGAGTGGTGGTGACTTCAGGAGTGGTGGTGAGGTCAGGAGTGGTGGTGAGCTCAGGAGTGGTGGTGAGCTCAGGAGTGGTGGTGAGCTCAGGGGTGGTGGTGACTTCAGGAGTGGTGGTGAGCTCAGGGGTGGTGGTGAGCTCAGGAGTGGTGGTGACTTCAGGGGTGGTGGTGAGCACAGGAGTGGTGGTGACTTCAGGAGTGGTGGTGACTTCAGGAATGGTGGTGAGCACAGGAGTGGTGGTGACTTCAGGAGTGGTGGTGAGCTCAGGAGTGGTGGTGACTTCAGGAGTGGTGGTGAGGTCAGGAGTGGTTGTGAGCTCAGGAGTGGTGGTGAGCTCAGGAGTGGTGGTGAGCTCAGGAGTGGTGGTGAGCTCAGGAGTGGTGGTGACTTCAGGAGTGGTGGTGAGCTCAGGGGTGGTGGTGACATCAGGAGTGGTGGTGAGCTCAGGAGTGGTGGTGACTTCAGGAGTGGTGGTGACTTCAGGAGTGGTGGTGACTTCAGGAGTGGTAGTGAGCTCAGGAGTGGTGGTAAGCTCAGGAGTGGTGGTGAGCTCAGGGGTGGTGGTGACTTCAGGAGTGGTGGTGAGCTCAGGAGTGGTGGTGACTTCAGGAGTGGTGGTGAGCTCAGGAGTGGTGGTGAGCTCAGGAGTGGTGGTGAGCTCAGGGGTGGTGGTGACTTCAGGAGTGGTGGTGAGCTCAGGGGTGGTGGTGAGCTCAGGGGTGGTGGTGACTTCAGGGGTGGTGGTGACTTCAGGAGTGGTGGTGACTTCAGGAGTGCTGGTGAGCTCAGGGGTGGTGGTGACATCAGGAGTGGTGGTGAGCTCAGGAGTGGTGGTGAGCTCAGGAGTGGTGGTGACTTCAGGAGTGGTGGTGAGCTCAGGAGTGGTGGTGAGCTCAGGAGTGGTGGTGAGCTCAGGAGTGGTGGTGAGCTCAGGAGTGGTGGTGAGGTCAGGAGTGGTGGTGAGCTCAGGAGTGGTGGTGAGCTCAGGAGTGGTGGTGAGCTCAGGAGTGGTGGTGACTTCAGGGGTGGTGGTGACTTCAGGAGTGGTGGTGAGCTCAGGAGTGGTAGTGAGCTCAGGAGTGGTGGTGAGCTCAGGAGTGGTGGTGAGCTCAGGAGTGGTGGTGACTTCAGGAGTGGTGGTGAGCTCAGGAGTGGTGGTGAGCTCAGGAGTGGTGGTGAGCTCAGGAGTGGTGGTAAGCTCAGGAGTGGTGGTGAGCTCAGGAGTGGTGGTGACTTCAGGAGTGGTGGTGAGCTCAGGAGTGGTGGTGAGCTCAGGAGTGGTGGTGAGCTCAGGAGTGGTGGTAAGCTCAGGAGTGGTGGTGAGCTCAGGAGTGGTGGTGACTTCAGGAGTGGTGGTGACTTCAGGAGTGGTGGTGACTTCAGGAGTGCTGGTGAGCTCAGGGGTGGTGGTGACATCAGGAGTGGTGGTGAGCTCAGGAGTGGTGGTGAGCTCAGGAGTGGTGGTGACTTCAGGAGTGGTGGTGAGCTCAGGAGTGGTGGTGAGGTCAGGAGTGGTGGTGAGCTCAGGAGTGGTGGTGAGCTCAGGAGTGGTGGTGACTTCAGGAGTGGTGGTGAGCTCAGGGGTGGTGGTGACTTCAGGAGTGGTGGTGACTTCAGGAGTGGTGGTGAGCTCAGGAGTGGTGGTGAGCTCAGGAGTGGTGGTGAGCTCAGGAGTGGTGGTGAGCTCAGGAGTGGTGGTGAGCTCAGGAGTGGTGGTGACTTCAGGAGTGGTGGTGAGCTCAGGAGTGGTGGTGACTTCAGGAGTGGTGGTGAGCTCAGGAGTGGTGGTGAGCTCAGGAGTGGTGGTGACTTCAGGAGTGGTGGTGAGCTCAGGAGTGGTGGTGAGCTCAGGAGTGGTGGTGACTTCAGGGGTGGTGGTGACTTCAGGAGTGGTGGTGAGCTCAGGGGTGGTGGTGACTTCAGGAGTGGTGGTGAGCTCAGGAGTGGTGGTGACATCAGGAGTGGTGGTGACTTCAGGAGTGGTGGTGAGCTCAGGAGTGGTGGTGAGCTCAGGAGTGGTGGTGACTTCAGGAGTGGTGGTGAGCTCAGGAGTGGTGGTGACTTCAGGAGTGGTGGTGAGCTCAGGAGTGGTGGTGACATCAGGAGTGGTGGTGAGCTCAGGGGTGGTGGTGACTTCAGGAGTGGTGGTGAGCTCAGGAGTGGTGGTGACATCAGGAGTGGTGGTGACTTCAGGAGTGGTGGTGACTTCAGGAGTGGTGGTGAGCTCAGGAGTGGTGGTGAGCTCAGGAGTGGTGGTGAGCTCAGGAGTGGTGGTGAGCTCAGGAGTGGTGGTGACTTCAGGAGTGGTGGTGAGCTCAGGAGTGGTGGTGAGGTCAGGAGTGGTGGTGAGCTCAGGAGGGGTGGTGAGCTCAGGAGTGGTGGTGAGCTCAGGAGTGGTGGTGACATCAGGAGTGGTGGTGACTTCAGGGGTGGTGGTGAGCTCAGGAGTGGTGGTGACATCAGGAGTGGTGGTGACTTCAGGAGTGGTGGTGAGCTCAGGAGTGGTGGTGACTTCAGGAGTGGTGGTGAGCTCAGGAGTGGTGGTGAGCTCAGGAGTGGTGGTGACTTCAGGAGTGGTGGTGAGCTCAGGAGTGGTGGTGAGCTCAGGAGTGGTGGTGATTTCAGGAGTGGTGGTGACATCAGGAGTGGTGGTGAGCTCAGGAGTGGTGGTGACTTCAGGAGTGGTGGTGAGCTCAGGAGTGGTGGTGAGCTCAGGAGTGGTGGTGAGCTCAGGAGTGGTGGTGACTTCAGGAGTGGTGGTGACTTCAGGAGTGGTGGTGAGCTCAGGAGTGGTGGTGAGCTCAGGAGTGGTGGTGAGCTCAGGAG